TGACGTCATCATTAGAGTCTGTCAGTGGAGTTTCATAGGTCTCGATCCTGGAGACTGATGGTCAGTTTTATCGTCGTGTTGAAAGCTGTAAAACTCCGATCCCAACTTAACCACCACCCATCCCCTCAAATAATAGGCCTTGGATATTGATACACTTATAAGGGGGCGTTCTTGTTCTTTCTAGAGTGAAATAAACGAAGCAGCTAAGGCAACAAACAATGACCGTGTAATTTCAATTTTCATCGTGAATAATTAAAACGAGTGGTCGCTAGTGGGAACAGGAAACATTTAGTAACTTGATCTGTGTTTTGCAGTTTTCGCCATGCATCAAACACTTTCCTTTTAAAATTGATTGGGATACTCAAATAATTTAAGTGGATATCCAAATCTGCCTAAAAATGAATGCTTTTCTTTGTCGTTAGGTTCAACACCGCCCTCAGCCCTCATCACTTCCGGTAAGACTGTCTAGACTCCGTCTCTTACCCCATTCACCAGCAGAGCATTTATAATTAGAGCGGGTTTAACGGAAGAAAAACCAGAAACAGGGAACTGAAAAACTAAATTTTCCTTGGGATTCAAGTAGTCGCTAACTTGTATTTTCAATGTGCTACATTTGAAGTCGACAGCTTCTATGAGGAAAAACAATTCAAATCGTGTCTAACAAAACAGCCTTAAAACATGTTTAAGCTTTGGTGTGAATGGTGTATATGTCATTATGTAACTGTCCACTGAATCACAAATATACATGTGATGGGCAATACACGTAACCGATGCGAAGATCATGTTAAATGCAGTGGGAAAATTTACATTGCAAATGAATTATTAATGCTTATAGAATTGAGTGGAGTGCAATTTAAGGAGTCCTAATCGGGCGAGTTGTTTCGCAGTAGCTGAACTCGTGGCGCTAAGCTGATTTAAAATTACGAGTACAATTACCACTAAATGGTACGGCATGAAGTGCAATTACCAATTCATCGTACTAAGAGCTAACTGTACCAGTTCATTTCATTCATGTTCGTTTTCAAGGTGGAACTCTCAACCTGCTCGCTAGAAAATTTTCTTCCTTTGAATTAGTTTGAGGTTTATTGGCCTAGCACACTATTACTACTTAATATAGTTATTGGATGCTTACATTTTGAGGTTTACCATTTGATCTTGTCTATTTGATGTCAGATTACAAGTGTTTGTAATCAGACAACTGAAATCGGTTGAATTGGACTCGAAACATCCAATTAATAATGGTAATAGGACCGAGTGGAGTCCAATTCGGTCTGTGACCGTACAAGTAATTTTCAAAATCGGACAAGCGCGAAGTGGGAGTCGAATTTGTTAATCACAAGTATGATTAAAGACAGAATTGGACGACACAAAGTCCTGTTACCCATTAATCATAACCGTTACAATTTCAGAAAACATCAAATACGTTTAGGACAAATATATCTAGTAGAGGCAATGTCTAAGTAAAAAATTCCTCAATTTTTGAAGTTTCGCTTTTTTTTTCGTATAAGTGGTTAACGCAATGGTTATTGTGATCAATTCTGCGACTGATGGATTTAGCTGAAAGGACTAAGTATCATTGGCTGCTTTATGAGTCCGATTACAGGTGTCCGATTGTAATCAACTGTCCGATTACAACTGTATAGAATGATGAATGAAAAATAAAGCAGTTAATGCACCAATCACATTTGAGGAAATTGTAATGATTAAGATTAAACCACAAAAGGGGCCCTGACCCCTTATAGTGACTGGCTCCTAATTTGTCCTAACAGAATATCAATCATCCTTGAATCAAAAATTAAGATCACGAGAATAAGGAAATGATCACCAATTTAGGAAGCTCCTGATTGTCAAACAGATTATTCTTGTCAGCACCAGAGGAAATGAGAAGAGAACAGTGTGGAGAAAATAAATACCAATGTGAGAGTGTAAAGGGATGAGAAACACTCATAACGAGCATTTTGTTAGTTACACAATTGATTTATGAAATTTCTTTTACTGGCTTTTAAACTGGAACTTCGATTTTTTTAGCTGTGGCCCAGCAGGCTAGCTATGAAATGAACAAGAATCCTCGAGGATTGTGCGTCATCGTGAATAACGTCGACTTCCAGAACAAGGACCTGAATCGACCAGGAGCCGACATAGACGAACGTAGCCTCCAACTTCTATTCAAGACGCTTCTCTTTGAAGTGATTATCCGGAGAGATTTGATGAAACACGAGTTGGAGAAAGTGGCACAGGATTTTGGAGAAGCAAATCACGAAGCGTATAACGCGTTTGTATTCATCGTCATGTCGCATGGAGAAGATCGCGATTGCATCTTGGGAGTCGACGGGAGGTAAACAACTGTGAAGAATTTGATGTCCGAGTTCCGTGAGAACAACTGTCCGTCACTTAAGTATAAACCCAAAGTATTCATCATCCAAACTTGCAGAGGATGTCAAAGAGGCGCTGATAATTCAATGCCCTCATCTGCTAATGATATCAGTTTACAGGTGGTTACAACGTCGTCACGGGAACAGAAAAGCTCCCAGCCATGTGGTACTGCATACAGTACTGACTCCACCCTCCCACGGAGCGTGTTTCCACCGGAAGCTGACTTTGTCTTGGCCTTCGCCACCGCGCCCGGTTACGTATCATATCGAGATCCGCATCATGGCGCCCGGTTCATACAGGTAAGAAATTGCCAAAACTAAAGCAACATGTTATTTCGATTCAAATGCGAACAGCGTAAATTAGCCACTGTAAAGAGTTTCAAAGCTGACGTTTCGAACGTTAGCTATAGCCCTTAGTCAATCGCTCTGACGAAGGGCCAACGCTCAAAATGTCAGCCTTTAAACTCTTTACGGCGGCC